TTAGAGGTATAACTAAGTGAATGGAGGTCTTGCTTTCACAGGACCCTGGATGATGCCCCGAGAGCTGGAGTATTGTGTGCAGGTGTGAGTATCCTGTTTAGGAGGGACTTCAGTCTCCCTGGGGTGTGTATTTAGATGGTGGGAGTTTCTTAAACCTGCTCCAATAGTTGGGAGAATCTGAGTTCTTTAATAAGGAGAATAAGTTTGGAGGAGGAAGGGAGCATAGTAGTTCTTTACAGATAACCTGCAGGGTTGTTTCTGGTGGGAGGAGAATTGTATTGTACTGCTCTAAAGAGGTGGATCTCCACTCTGGGCTAGTCTAATGGTGGCTCTGCATGGAGGGCTGATGGGCTGTCAAGAAAGCTGACGGATCTCCTGACACTGGGATTTTCACCCTAGCACTAGGAGCGGTACTTGGAAGGCTATTAAGCCTCATATAGCCTATGAGCCTATAAAATCTTTAAATTCCTTTTGGAGTTAATTAATGGATTTTTTTCCAAGCTAAAATACCATCTACCTCTAAGGTCATCATTTGTAACTTTTTATAGTAACAGATGTGAAGCACAATGAAAATTGCATGCCTCACTCTGGGAAAATGCACCTCATGGGGGGCAGTTAACACGGTTGGTTGACATATTTGTATTTCTTATTTAATCATACAGTCCTGTATTATGAGTCTGAATTTGTAGGATCATGTTTTGTATTTTGGAAAAAAGTCTTTATCTTAGGGTAACCTGGTTTGAAGTCCAGATCCAGAAAAAAACATAAATAAAAACTTGTTCATATTGACACTGTGACTGACTTCTGGCCATATGATGGAACTCTAGGAGGAAGGTGTGAAGCCTGAGAAAGAAGGGAAAGAAACAGGAAACATTACCTCCTGTACATAATTTCGCCTTCTATAATTGGAGAAGGTTTTTAAATGCTTTTCTTTTCTTGTGTGAGCTTTCTCTCCTTTTTTGGTTTCTGGTTTTGCTTTTCTATTCTTGGTCTTTATGATAGTGTCTTTTCCTTTTATTCTTACTGTGTGATCTGTACAGTTTCACCAACAGGCAGCTTTTCCTTTTAAAGCTTCCACTTTCTGCATGGATTTTACTTTCCTATCTCGGTCCCTGCCCTTCCACTTCTTAGCTCTGTGACCTTGGGAATGTTACCCTCTCTGTGCTTTCATGTCCTTACCCAGAAAGAAAAGAAAAAGCAAGGGGATGTTAAGGTCTATCTCTGGAGGCCACTACAAATATTAAATAGCCTAACTTAAATTAAAATTAAAGACTAAACAAAAATATAATTTAAAATTTAAATTAAAACTTACGAATATGTATTCTAACTGAGAATAATACTTGGTCCTTAGAAGGTTCTAGCTTTCCATTCCCTTACCAATGAGTAACATTTGCTGCTCACTGACAAAAAAAAAAAAAGCATCTATTATGTAATTCATTAAAAATTAAAATACAACTCTTTCTAGCAAGACAGGGATTTGACACTTGTTTGTCAGTCTCTAGCAATCACATTGTGAATTGCAGTGTACCATACTCTGGTTTTGTTCGTCATTGTTGAGAAGAATTCATTTCTTTTTTTCTCCCAGCCTTGATAATTCAAACCTGGGGGCTCTTGGTCTCATGCTTATAATTCTGCCCAAAGAGAATTAGAGGCACTCCCTTTCTGTGGATGGCCCATATTTGTGGGATCTCTTGCTCTCCCTGGCTTTCTGGGATACCTGCTTTCTGATCCAGAGAGCACAGTGTTCTTTTAAACTGCTGTCTTACTGATTTGCCTACATGCTTTTTATATCTGTGCCCAGAGGATATGTATATCTTCAAGGAAAACACTTTTTAACTTGAATAAAGAAATAAAGATAGGTTCACTGAGAATCTCCTCTGTGTCAGGGAATTGAGGCTGTGACCAGAGTATGAGCATCTTGGTTAGGCCTGAGGTCTGTATTGGGGTGAGGCTGGACCCAGGACACCGCTGGCTTACTGAAGACAGGCCTGGAAGAAGACAGAGAAGGAGAAGAGGAATGTGGGAGATAGGGATGAAGGAGAGGAGGGGGATGGAGACAGTGCCACAGGGATGGAACAGAAGAGCAGTATGGCAGGAAATGAAAGTACCTGCTCCTGTGTGGGTGTGTGTATTTGGGTAGGATTAGATGAACGTGGGGAAAGGAATAGAAAGACCCAGATCAGGATGTTAATATGTCTTTGGGTGAGCGGAGAAAGGGGCAAATAAAACACACAAAACCCCCAGCTTATAGGAAATGATCTCATTTATGTAAAAAGTGCATGCTTGCATAATAGATGCAAAAGAAATGAAAGAAAAAGAGCTTTATCTGCTGAGGTTCTGGGGGACACCAATGGTAGGGTGTCCAATGAAAGGTCACATTAGGAGAGGAGGGGGCTGGGCTGGAGAGGAGCATGGAGGTAGCTGCATATTACTGGTGATTTTTCAGTCCTTTGTTCTCAGGTGTTCATGATGTCATTCTGTGGGTCACATCCATCCATATATATGTATGTGTATGTATATACACGATTATGTCTGTATGCATGCACACATAATCTTTTGAATAGATGAAGTTACATAATAAACAGTGATGAAGGGAGACCAGTGGGTTGCCACGTAACCTACTTCAGCAGAAACATAACAGCAGCCTCCCAGGTAATGTGTACATGTGTATTCATGTGTGTTTGTATGGATGAGGAGGAAGGTGTGGAAGACTTTAACGTTGAATCCGCCCTGGGGGAATTGGGGATGGAGCAGAACCTTGTTACTTTTAAACTCTCCCATCCCCAGTGCCTAATAAAATACACTCACAATAGTAGATAAATCAATGTTAGCTTTGAATTGAGTGATTTACTGATGATCCGTGAATCTACTTTGATCAAAATTTAAATACTATATTAGATTTAAGCTCTTTGGGGGCAGAAATAACATTGATCTTCATCATTCATTCATATAGTCATTCATTCATGCTACAAATAACATATTAAGTACCCAATACATATGCTAGGTATTGAACAATATTTTCTTCAGTGTCTAGCACATTTAAAAGTTTTTTTTTTTAAGTAAAAATATAGGATGTTGTGACAGTTCATTATAGAAGGACCTAATCTATTCTAGTGGGCCAGGAAAGCTTCCTGGAGGAAGAGGTATTCATACTGCAAACTTAAGACCACAAAGGAGTTAGGTAATGTTGGGAGAAGAGTCCACATTCTGTGCAGATGGAAGAGTATGTGCAAAGGCCCCAAAGCAGAGAAGGAGGTGCCCAGTAATGTAAAGAATGAAGACAGTGTGCCTGCAGCATGGAGAGTAAGAGGATGAGTAGTAGGGGGTGAGGCTGGAAAGGTGTTTGGGGGCTGGACCATGCAGAACCTGAAGGCTGGGATAGGATTTCCTCCAACTTCCGTTTTGAACATTTTCAAACCTGTAGAACAGTTATAGGTGTTGTAGAGTGGATCACTGAAGTTTGCAAATTATTATCTTTTGGCACAGTTCCATTCTCTCTCTCTCACAAACACACACACACACGCGCGCGCGCACAGTTTTCTCTTTGCTGAACCATTGGAGAGTAAGTTACCATGTGCCATGTCTAAAAGCATGTCATGTTTAAAAGCGTGTCTCTTCCAAGAACAAAGAATATCTCTGATATATTCACAATACTATTATACACCTAAGAAAGTTAACACTGATAAAATACCTTGACCTAATATACAACCCATATTAAATCTCTAATTGTCCCAATAATGTCCTTTGCTAACTTTTTTTTTTTTTTTGAGAGAGAGGGAGAGCAGGGGGTGGGGAGGGGAGAGGGAGAGGAAGACAGAGACTCTTAAGAATTCCACACTGAGTGTGGAGCCCGATACTGTAGGGCTTGATCTCACCACCCCAAGGTCATGACCTGAGCCAGAATCAAGAGCTGGATGCTTAACTGACTGAGCCACCCAGGTGCCCCTAACTTTTTTTTTTTAAATCTAAGATCCAGTCAGGGAGCACACATTATATGTAGATACACATTGGCATTTTGGAGGTAAGTTTAGGCCAGTTATTTTGTAAAATGTCCATCTATTTAGATTTGCCTGATTATTTCCTCATGATTAAATTCAGTTTGAACATTTATAGCAAGAATACTACATAGGTGATGTGAAGCACTGAGAACTACCTAACATCAGGAACACATGGAATCACTTTCCATTATAGATGTTAAAATTGATCACTTGGTTAAGGTGGCTTCTACCAGATTTCTCTATTGTAAAGGTAGAATTTTCCTTTTGTAAGAAATAAAGTAATCTTGGGGTGCCTGGGTGGCTCGGTCAGTTGGGTGTCTGACTCTTGATTTTGGCTTAGGTCATGATCTCAGGGTCTTATGATTGAGCCCTGCATTGGGCTCCATGATGAGTGTAGAGCCTGTTTAAGATTCTCTTTCTCCCTCTCCCTCTGCCCCTCCCCACCCCCAGCTCCCGTGCACCTGTGCTTCCTCTTTCTCTCTCTCTCTCCCCAAAAAAATAAATAAATAAAAATAAAGTAATCTGGAGAACGGTACCTTAAGATTCTGTGAATATCCTGTTCCCTAACAATCTTTCACCTGGTGTTTTTAGCAACCATTTGTTGCAAGATAATTATTACTTTGGTGATTGCAAAATGGTGATTTTTTTCTAACTGTATGATTTTTGTTAGGTTAGTTGGTATTATTCTATGAAGAAGAGCTTTTTCTTCTCCTCCAGCCTTTTAAATCAGTATCAATATGAACCTGTGGGTTTTTAAAATTTGAATTTAAGATTTAATATGTTTTATAATCCATTTCTAACATTAATCATTTTTATGTTTTAATTTCCCCATATTTGGCCAGCAGGGACCCTATCAGAAAGGTTTTTGAGAAATTTAAGGGCTGAGTGAATGAAATAATAATATGAAAGTGATGAATAAATCTGTGTTTTCCATGTTTTTTTCCCCTAAGAATCTTTATTTGTCAGTGCTAACAACATGATTTTATTTTTATTTCTCTCTAGGTTTTATGGACTAATTGGCTCTCATTCAGCAGGAACCTAACAGATAAGTCATCCTGCTGTATGTCAAGACAATGCTTGGTTTTAAGACTGCTCTGAAAATGATTAAAGTAGTATTGCAGCGTGACATTGTCAGGGGGCAACAAGCAGCTTGAGAATTTCCTATTAATCAAATAGCAGCTTGAAGGAAGCTCCTTTCCATTAAGTAGGACTGCATGGCCAGCAGCCCCCACTGAAGGGTTGAAAATGAGTGTCCCAGTGGCTCCAAAGAAATCATGTTACGCTCAGTTGCGGGACAACAGAAATGGAGTGAAAAATAATAATGAGAGTATCCTAAGTCTGGGAGATACAAATGCCAATCAAATCATGTTGGAGGTCAGTTCCTCTCATGATGAGTCTGAGACACGTGACCGGACAGATGAAATTGGAAATGCAAATTCAAGTGAGCCAGAGAATAGTACCCATTTCAATAAGGAATCTCACCAACTTCAGGGCTTTGGGAAAGGATCGCAGTCTGGCCCCACCAGCCTGAAAGATTTTAAATTTTCTTCGACCGTCCATGGAGGACTAAATGAAGAGCACACGGTGGAGAGAGGCACAGATATCCTACAGACCCCTCGCAGTGTTCAGGGACCAAGTCTGTCAAGTTGGAGGAACGTTATGGCGGAGGCCAGTCCAGAGGTTTTGGCTAAAAGGGATGCTGAACTTCCCCGGCATGCTCCTAAGGATAAGTTGGCAAAGACCCTTGACAATGAGGAATTGAGAAGGCATTCTTTGGAAAGAGCAAGTGGCTCTGCTGTTGTCGTGGACATGCCCACAAGGGAACGTGGCGGGAGCCTGACCTGGCAGCGTCTGCAGCCCACGCCACTCGACTCCTCTGAAGCCCGGCGTCATGAGCCCAGTGGCGGGGAGGGGCCGCAGAGGCTGTTGACCGCCCCCTCTCCAGGGGCAGCTCTTCCTCCAGCTGACAGTACCTCAGAGGGAAAGAGTGTGAGTCATCCTAAACCATCTACCTCAGCAACCAAGGAGACCACCCCCTCAGAGACCCAGATGGAGGGGGGACATGGACCGAAAGTCAGCAATGAGAGCACATCACATTCGGCCCTTCCAGAGCCTGGTCTGGATTCAGCTTCAGCACTGAAGGGAGTCCTGAGTAAGCCAGAAGCACAGTTAGGTCAGGGAAAGGGAGAGCTCAAGCCAGAGCTGAAATTTGTCCCACCCCAGGCTGGGCAGGAGTTAAAGTCAATCCAGGCCGAGGGTCTGGGATGCCCCAAGGAAGGTGGTAGTGTGTTACTCCTCGAGAGAAAGGAGCCAGGTGGGAAAGCACAGCAGGAGGCCGCCACTGGTGCCCTTAGCCTGTCACACAGCAGTGGCCACCACGCTCGTGTGGGAAGAGGCAGGAGTGAGCAGGACAAGAGAGCAGTCCACCTAGGTGAGGAGGGTTCTCTTCAGACCAGCCCCACACAAGGCCCTGCTTCCTTGGAAGCTGCCGAGAAGCAGCCCACTGGCAAAATTTCATCAAGTGCAGCTAGGAAGTTGGGCGTTTCAGCGGGTGATGGGCATGTACCTTTTATTCCTTATGACCCACCGGACAGCAGGCCCTCAGATGTCAGTGAGGAGAGCGCACTGGACAGTGGGAACATGGACAGTGTGGCAGTTTGTACTTTAGATTCTTCTGTTGGAGAGCTCAACACTGGGGTCCCTGAGCCCCTCGGCCCTCAGAGCAGCAACTCAGAAGTAGGGGACAGCAAAGAGATCACTACATCTGTTGCAGAAGATAGGAACCTCCTAGAAAATACAGCTAAGACTGAAAGCACCCCAGGGGGAGCAGGTGCTCTTCTCAGTGGCCTGGCACCCCTCCATCCAGAGACAACTGTGAATGTGACCCACCAGCCTCCACCACCTAGTAGCAGTGTTCAGGACCTTGGCACGTTAGGTGTGGATGCCAGGTCAGCCTCGGCTGCCGCACCCCCCACTGATAGTGCATGGTTGTTGAACACACCCCCGAAAGTGCCTGACAAGAGCACCTGCCCCAGTGGGATCCCCGAGCCTGTATTCCCACATTCTGAGGATACCCCTTCCTCACAGGAGGGAATGGAGAGCCACCAGGTTGAAAAAACAGAAGAAAGGACAGAACCCAAGCCCATCATTCTGCCCAAGCCCAAGCACGTGAGGCCCAAGATCATCACCTACATCAGGAGGAGTCCTCAGGCCCTCGGCCAGGTGGACACTTCGCTGGTTCCGGTGGGCCTTCCTTATGTTCCGCCCACATGTACCATGTCTCTTCCCAAAGAGGAGAAGGCAGCAGGTGGTGAGCTGAAGCCATCTGCCAACCTCTATGAGAAATACAAGCCAGACTTGCAAAAGCCACGGGTCTTCAGTTCTGGGTTGATGGTGTCTGGGATCAAGCCCCCAGGACACCATTTCAGTCAAATGAGTGAAAAGTTTTTGCAGGAGGTAAGAGAATGTCATTCTGATATGATCTTTAAGTCAAACACTGTAAAGTTTGTTATGTGTTTTCAGTGTGAACTGTGAAAACAGAATATCCTGTTAGCAAATTGCAGATTTTGATGGATCCATGTGCACAGAAATGGATGTTCTTAACTAGAGGAGTTTATAGACAAGTGGACATTTTTGACCGGAAGAGCTTGCCGATCATGATGAGATGTAGCTAACATCTAAGGAGACTCATTTAAGTTCCACTCAGTGTAATACATGAGAGGTTAGATAAGTATGCATTTAAATTGGTTTCTATGCTTAAATAAGTCAGCATAAATCTTTTATAAGCCAGATCAACAGGGGGAAAAGTCCAAAATAAATACATTGTTCAAATTGGTCTGACTTCATCCTCTCAGGGGGAGTATTTTCCTTATGGGAGAATCTCATATTCATACATGGGAAAACCACAGTGAATAGCAAATAATGTGTTAGGCATGGGCTCCTTGAGTCAGAATAATAATTACAACTAACATTTAGTTGAGCACCTACTATGCCTTGAGCCCACATAACATAACATTTCATCTTTATCAATCTTTACTAGTCCTTGCAGTATTTTCTGGAGGTTGGGATTACAGTTTTTATCATAGTATAAACCACTTTGGAGGGATTTGAGTAACTCAGTTAAAGCCACAGAACAAGGACAGTGCTGAGATGCTCTTCTCGCCCTCCCAATTCCAACACTGTGCGGCCCCTTTCATTTCTGGGTGTGATGGCGAGTTGTCGTCCCAGAGCTCAGAAGGCAGATTTATCTCCTGAACCAGTCTCCTCATGGCAGCCACAGTGATCATTTAAAAGCTGGGGTCAGATCACTCCTCTCCATAACATCCTTCAGGTCTGCCCAGGCCATTTAGAACACAGGCTTAAGTATGTAGGATGGCTCAGCTTTTAGGATGGACTCAATCTGGTTCCATAACCTCCCCAACCACCTCTCCTTCCTCTGCTCACCCTCTCTCCTTCTGCTGCCTCGGGGTCTTTGCACTTACCTCTGCTTGGAATGTTCTTTTTCCATAGACCCAGAGGCTGTCTCCTTTACTTTCTATCTCTGTTCAAATGGCACTTCATTGGAGAGACACCTCACCTTCCCTGAGACCCCCTTTCTCTGGTTTATTTTTTTCTTAGTGCTTATCTCCATCTGGCGTATATACTTTTTCTGTTTTTGCGGCATCAACTAGAATGTAAAATCCATGAGAACAGGGACTTTTTTTCTGTTTTTGTTGTTGTTGTTGTTGTTCTCTGCTGGGTCCCCAGAGTTTACAGTGCTTGACATAACGATGTTGTCAGAAAATGTTGAATGATGGCTGAATTATGAACTCATATATGTTGGATCCAAACAAAAGTCAACCAAAGCTTCTTAGAGATAGAAAGGCTAAGTCCAAAGTTGGACCTTAGGTTGACTGAATATATTGACATATTTGCTGAATGTACTGATCAGAGTGGAAGTTGTCAGCTTTGGCCCAGCAAAAGAGGTGAATCTATCCTAAGCAGCAGACCTTGACCAAAGCTATCACTGACAGGTGCCCCAGCAGCTGACCGTCTGTTCTGCCTTGAGGCAGGCTGTTAGCTCCAAGTCACACAGCTCGGTCACTGTCTTCTGACTCTGGGCCTGCTTTCCCACCTCACATCTCTACAGAGAGAACACCAACTAGAGAGGCTGAGGGTCCAGTCTTTTCAGCAGGGGCTCATTTCACTGTTCCGGGCTGCGTTCTGTCCTGTTTTAGGTGGGCTTCTCACACAGAGGTCTGCAGCGAGAGGATGTTCTAGCCAAAGGACATAAAGAGTCTGGCCCTAGGCCGTGGCATCTCACTAACAGTGGACAGATTGCCACTCTGGTCTTATACATGAGTCTCTGAGCTTGGTTAATGTGAGTCTTTCTCAAATTTCTAAAACCTTATCCACCTGGGCCTCCAAGGCTCAGGATCAGGCTCTGACCTTAAGCTCCTTGCTAAGGCAGGGATGCTCCTTGTGAGGCCTCTCAAAGGTAGCCCTCTGACCCTCCCCAGGCTGCGGATACCAAAGCTGTTTAAATAACCAAAGACTCTTTTTCTTCTTCTTCTTGGGTCACTGCAGAAGTAAGCAACTTGTTGCATGATTGGGTCCCCAAATCTGGCAGGGCAGAGTATCTCTTTGATAAGCACGCTCTGGAAGACAGTGATAAGAGCTCACCCTTGGGCTGGTTTCTCTGTGGCCACTGGGATGGCTGCCCTGGTCACAACACATGTTGGGGTTACCTTTACCTTGTCTATAAGTCGTACCAGCGCATCCACTTCAGTTCATTCATTTGTACCATTTCTTCAAATAGACTAATTTGGTTCCCCACCCACCCCAAAAAAGATCCCCCAGACTTTTCTCTGCAAGAACACATTCATGAGAGAAATTTTATGTGGAGAGGTCGGCAAACATGCTGTTACTGTCTGCATTTCTTTCTCTGTGACCCTTACTGATTTTGGTTTTGTGTATGTCTTTTCTGCATTGCTTTGGCTCCCTCTATAAAATATAACTTCTAAATTATATGCACATTTCCCCCCAAAATAGTTCCTATTCTTAATCCTCTAGAAGCCACCCTGAGTCTCAAGGAAATGGGATAGCATGAGTGTTTGTGTGGTGTTAGTAGTTCTGAGGGGTTTGGAGAGGCCCCATTGGTGGGGGACAGCAGCGCCACTGTGCACCAGCCCCTCTGGGGACTGTTTTCTGCCATAATCAGGTGTCCAAGGCCCTGTCTTCCAGCTACAAGACAGGGCAGAGAAGCCCCAGGTGTTGTACTGGGCCAATTTCTGCCATAATCCTCTTTTAATCAATAGGCTGGCCCTTGGCCTTTGCTCCTAGAGCTGAAACTTGACGAAATCCAGTGGGTCCCCTTCCTGCATTCTGGCTTGGTGCAGGGAGGTCCCAAGGCCACCTCCCCTGCCAGTGAGCCCTGCCTTGCCACAGGATGGCTTCAGCCAATCTCCAGGGAAAGAACACATTTCTGACCAGTTGCAACAGAAGTATTTTTCAATTGTAGAAGTCCTATATCTTTTTAATAAATGGGAAAGTCTTAACAGTACAAACCCAAACCAGCTTCAGACTCTTTCATCATTATTGACAGATTTCCTGCTGGGTTAGCATTAGTAGAAATGAAGAAGTCAGAGGAAGGGCTCTTCTGAGAGAGGGCATCCTTTCTCCGTTGACAGGAACAGTACAGACATTTAGAGCTTCCAGAAGCGGCTTTGAGGATCATGGCAGGATGATCAAATATGCTTCCTGGTTTAGACTGTTTTCTGCTTGCACCTATCCTGAGGTCTCTGGAACACTTCTTCCTACTGATGCCTTGGGGAATCCCTTTGCATTTTTAGTATAAGGAGGTGGGAAGAGGGGAGCAGGGGTGAGAGGACACGGGTGAGGTCGTGTACTTGCAACATACAGATGTCTGATCAGGGCTGGTCTCCCTTCCTACTCCCATAATACAGGGACATATGTATGTATTATGTAAGTATCTATCCAGACTTGAAGGAATTGGCCTGTGCAATTGTGGAGGCTGGCAAGTCCAAAGTATGCAGGGTGGGCCAGCTGGCTGGAGACGTAGGGAAGAGGTGATGCTGCAGTTCAAGTTCAAAGGCCACCTGCTGGCGGATTTCCCTCTTCTTTAAGGGAGGTCAGTCTTTTTCCAGTAAAGCATTCAACTGATTAGGTGAGGCCTACCCACATGATGAGGCATAATCTGCTTTATTCAGGGCTTACTGATTTAAATGTTGATCTCATCTTGAAAACATAAACATCTAGAATAGTCTTTGACCAAATATCTGGGTACCATGACCTAGCCAGGTTGTTAAGATTAACCATCACAGGTCCTCTCCCAGTGGCTGTCTGGATCAGTGACTTCTCAATGAAGCCTCCACATTTACTGTGTGTCTGCCCAGTTCAGCCCATTCCACTGAAAGCAGGACGGGGCAAATAGGAAGAGTGGCAATCTAGTAAGAACTTAACCTGTTTGTATACCTTGATTGACTTTTAGGAGTTTGAGATCACAAGGATCTTTTAGTTTGCTTTCAAAATTATTTCTCTAAAAGTACTCCATTAGAGAAGGAGGGGAGAGAGTCATTTGGGGTTCAGTGCTATGTGTTCGTAGCTGTCAGTGACATCTGCTGTATTGTCAGTAAAGATGAAAGAAACGAGGGTGGAGTTTTTTTGTAGGTGCCCTTGCCTTATCAAAAACACCAATTAGGCATACTTTTCACCGTCTTAAAGAATTTGTTACATCTTACCAGAGACAAACCACCCAACAAAGTGACAGGCGTTGCAGTGACCGAAATCATTAAGGACACTTCCGAGTGACAGCATGTTGGGTTTTGGACTCTCCAGTTTCAAAGGACTGAGTAATTACTGATATCAGCATATTGCAATCCTGAAAACCTGACAGATGTGGGATAGAAGTCTTTTCTTCATGAGCACACTTGCTAGAAGCAGTGAGCAGGGGCACCGGAATTTTAGAAACTGCAATGAAAAAATAGAGGAACATAAATATAATAGAAAAGCAAAAGGTTGATAGTAAGAGGGTAAGTAGGGAATGGTAAAAATTTTATTAGCGGGCAGGAATAGAATGTCTTTCACAGGAATATAACTTGCTGTGGCCTGAATTCAGCCTGTCTGCTAGAGCAATCATGCATATGTTACAATGTGATTATGATAAAACTTTAAAGGCCTAATCTTTTGTTTGTTTAATAATGTCAGTTTAAGGAGAAAACGTTAAACATTAAAAGAGTATCACATTGAGAGTTTTTCTCTTCAACAGCTTGGATCAAAGCTTTATAGCCCCTATTAAAGAATATTGTTAAATGCTTGTGATTCCTGAATAGATAAATGTTTGACACATAAAATTGTGAGTTAGCGCAGAGTTCACAGATGTATCTTTTCGTTCATAGCCTCTGGCACTATTTTTTTTCTTTAACTTAAAGGAAATAGAGATAATTTAGTTGTCTTATTTTTTTCATTTTTAATATGAAGAAACACTGATAATATGAACAGGCTTTGTGAGTATAGAATTACCTATATAAAACGCATATAGGTTGTGTTCTAGCCCAAACTTTAACTATAGGGGAAAGTCACAGGATTATTATGTTATTAAATTTAGGTAAGAATGGAAACATGATTCCTTTATTGAATAAATATTTATTGACTTTATGTACCAGACACCGTTGTAGGTGCTATGGATTTAGCCGTCAACAAGATTCTGCCCTAGAACTTTCACTGTAGTGAAACTTATCAAACATTCCTGGACACCCCACCTTACTAGGGGAGACAGATGAGGAGATTCACAGTGTCTCGTTTTTAATTATGTAAACAGATTGTAGAGGCCTGAAAATGTATCTTTCCATCAACTGCTTTGTTCTTCCAAACAGCCTTTTCTCCCACATTAACAATGCTTTTTTATTGCCTAAGTAGCCCGGTAAAGACTTAACAGAAATTGGTAAGGTTCACCTGCTTATCTTAAGAGTAGGTTACCATAAACATTGTGCCTTTTCTCATTAGGAAGAATGAAACTTTCATAATTCTATGAACATTGGCTAAACTCTTTTCCTGCTTCATTGAAATTATGTATTTATAGATTGGCTACTCACACAGATTCCAGTGATTTTGTAGCAATCAAATTTAAAAATCTTGTACAGTGAGTTGTTTTCCCAGTGAAATGTGGATTCTTAGCGCATTAGAACTGGAAGAGACCTGAGAGGTCATCCAGTTGTATTGTTAACTTAGGGATGAAGACCCTGGAGCCCAGAGAAGGTAAGTGGTCAGTGATGGAGCAACTCAGTGGGGCCAGAGTGGCCATTGCTGGAGCCTTGGTCTCCTGACCACATTCCATGCTCATCCTGTGATGGGAGCTTCTCTGATTAAGCTTCTGGTCATTTATCACAGGTTACAGAACGCCCGGGAAAAGAAGAATTTTGTTCTCCTTCCTATACTCATTATGAAGTTCCTCCAACTTTCTATCGATCGGCCATGCTCCTTAAGCCCCAGTTGGGATTGGGTGCAATGTCCCGTTTACCATCTGCAAAGAGCAGGATCCTGATTGCGAGTCAGAGGTCCTCGGCGAGTGCCATCCACCCGCCAGGACCCATCACGGCAGCTACCAGTCTCTACAGCTCTGATTCTGCGGGTAAGTGACCCAGCTGTTACTGTTTTTTCCTGCTGCACTTGTAAATAGTAATTCTCTAAAACGGCAGTAACTGTCTACTACATGAATGCCTTACCCTCTGAGAGGAGCCTTTTTCTTCTCTTCCATCTGACTGTCAATACAGATACTTGTCAAGACTCCTCCGTCTGCACCAGTCATCCTCCACGTTCCCTTTAAAAGGGTGGCCTTTGCAACCACCTCCTCAATTCGTGCGATTTCTCCTTTCTCTGATACAGCCTGTAGACCAGGGGCCAGTGGAGTTTTTCTGTAAGGGGTCAGATAGTAAATATTTTAGGCTTTCTGGGCCATAATGGTCCGTGTGGTAACTACTTCGCATGAAAGCAGCTGCAGACAGTACATCAGTGAATGAGTGTGGCTGTATTTCAGTACAGCTTAGTTCACAGAAACAGAGAGGGGGCTGGGTTTGGCCTGGGGGTTGTAGTTTGCCAGAGAGATCTTTCTACAGCCTGGCACTGACCATATCATTCTTCATCTGCTCACAAATCTGGACCACTCCATAATTGCTTATGAAAAGGCTCTGCTGCCTCTCCCAGCCCTGTCATCCTGCTCCGCCATGGCTGGCCAGTGTCCCCTCCTGAGGTTCTCTGCACTGGCTTGTTTGCTGTCTCCAGTCTTCCACTCCTGTGGTTTCCTCTGGGCTTTATGTATGATTTTATTATGGACATAATACATCCCCAGTGTAAAACATTTTGAACATAGAAAAATATGGAAAAGGAAGTAATAATACTTAACATATTTTTAACACCCAGCCAGAGTTATTATTATGGAGTTTTATCTTCCACTGTGATTTTTTTTCTGTGCATGTTTCAATAGTTAAAATAATTTTGAATGTGAGTTTTGTGTTTTTCTATTAATACATAGTAGACATTTCCTAGGTCATCCGTGTTTCAGAAATATTTTAATGGCAGCATAATATTCTGTTTTGTTCACTTATTCATTTATTCAACACATTTTGGGTGGTTATTATGGGCCAGAAGTTGTAAATTAAGGACTGCAGCAGTGAACAAACCATAGAGCTCCTGTCTTTATGCGTCTTACAGTCTAATGGAGGAAATAGACCAAAAAAGCAAAAAAATAAATACATAATTGTAAATATGAAAGCAAGGAGCACAGTGTTTTAAGAAATTACAGCCAGAAGAATTATATGGATGGGATGGAGGCACTTCAGGGGCAGCCTCTTGAGGAAGTGGGAAGAATGGGAGAAGGTGGAGAATTGTGTCAGAGTTGATTCATTGCCCAATCACTGGCAGTTGAGTTCTGCTTACTCTACACTATTTTCAATAGTGTTGTGATTTGAGTCTTTGTGTATACTTATTTGTCTTCCTTCTTATGTTTTCTTAGGCTCGATCATTTGAAGTGTAATGATTAGATAAAAGCATATCCAAACATTTTTTTAAGGCCAAGGAATTTTCTAGAAAACGTGTAACAATTATTTTCATACTAGTGTTTCTTGGAAGTGTTTCTTCTTGCCATACCCTTGCCAGTGTTGAATATTATCACTCCTCCATCTCCTCCTATTATTATTATTATTATTGCATTTTTTTTATTATAAGTGGAAAGGAACTTTTTAAAACCTATTTTCCATTAAATTACTTCATGAATTGTCATTTACTGAAATAATTATTGATGAACAATAACTTTTTTAAAAGATTTTATTTATTTATTTGACAGAGAGAGAGATAGAGCAGGAACACAAATGGGGGGAGTGGGAGAGGGAAAAGCAGGCTTCCCACCAAGCAGGGAGCCCAATGTGGGGCTCAATCCCAGGACCCTGGGATCATGACCTGAGCTGAAGGCAGATGCTTAATGACTGAGCCACCCACGTGCCCCGATGAACAATAATTTTTAAATGGTTTTTCTTAGTTTTTTTTTTGACAAGCACTTCTATAAAAATCAAATTATTTTTGATGGCTCTCATGATATATGTATATTGTGATGGACCTACATGTTATTATCAAAGCTGCTGCAAGGTAATTAGGTGATTCAGTCCCTCATTCAAGAATTATTACTGAGGGACAGTCCCTCATTCAAGAATTATTACTGAGGGACTGTTACATATCAGCACTGTTCTAGGTGTGGGGGATAAAGCAGTGACAACAGACAAAAATCCTTGCCCCCATGGAGCTTGAATTTTAGTATGGGGGTAGCCTTTTTTGTTTTTTAATGAGCAAATAAATTACATCGTGTGTTGGGAGAAATAACTAGTATTGAAGGAAATGAAACATAGAGGAGGAATATACGACATCTGGGAAAGAAGGAAGGAGATTATGATTTTTAATAGGGTGGTTGGGAGGTCACCTTTAAACCAATCCCCCAGAGGAGGTGAGGGAGGGAACCACATGGATATCAGGGGTGGAGCATCCAGGCAGAGGAAGGAGCCAGGAACAGCCCCTGAGGTGGCAGGAAGGCCAGGAGGCTGGAACAGAGTGAGCAGGGGAGGTGGGAAGCTAGGAGGTTGGCGGGGTGCGGGCGTGTGTGTGTGTGTGTGTGTGTGTGTGTGTGTGTGTCGGGGAGGGGGGAATTGCATAAGCCTTAAGAACCATTCTAAGGATTTGAATTTTCCTCTGAATGAGAAAACCATTGGAGGCTTTGGAGCCAGGGCAGCGTGATCTGGCTTTTGTGGACTCAGGATCCCTCTGAGTCTACAAGGACAGAGGATGAAGCAGGGGGAGCAGCCAAGAGGTGAGGCAGTGTCCGGGTGGTGATGGGACACAGTGAGAAGGTAGAACACATCGGGGCTCCTGACTGACTGCGCATGGGCTCTGAGAGAAAATGTGCAGTGGAAGGTAGACTCCTTGAGAATGGAGTTGCCACTCAGAGAGTAGGGGAGAAGCTGGTTTAGAAGGGGAGGATAGGAGCTAACTCAGGTCGTGTTGCAGTTGAAATGCCCTTAGCCGTCCTATGGGATGAAGCGCTGCATCTAGGAGACCAGCGTTGAGAGGACAGGGCTGGAGATCTGAAAGTGTTAGTTGTCAGCAGATGGCTGGTCTTTAAAGCTATGATGTTCCCCTCCACTGGGCCACCATTCTCTCCAGCATGATTTCACCTTCACCAGTAACTTATAAATTTGATGTGGATTTGAATTACAAGCTTTGAAATAGCATGATGTAACAAATGTTAATAGTTTTACTTTGGAAAAACTATAAAATAGTTTTAATTTGGAAAAACTTAAAATTACTAAAAATGAACTTAGTTGAGATTTATTTAACAGTAGTCAAGTTTTGGGGTAATGAAAAGTCTTTAAGTGTATCCCACGTGCATAAAAATACCACTACCCAGAAGAGGCAGGCAGTTCGAGCTCTTTCTGAGGATGACTTGCTTGTGTTCACACATTTGTGATGAGGGTGACACTTCTTTAGAGATCAGCTCAGCCCCCAGAAGTACACATATAAGGGACTCCTCCACCCCCGCTCCTCCAAGACTCCCAACTGTTTTTCTTGGGCTCCTGGGTATCTTAATTTAGAGAGATATGTGTTCACATGGGTAATCATTAGGGACCTAACAAAGCCTTGTGACAATGGTTGTCACTCCTACAGGACACTGAGAATGTGAAATCCTTTCTTAGTGCTGTTGGAAGGACCACTTGGCATAGGCTTTGAGACCCACAACGAGACGTTCTTATTGCAGAGACTGGGGAGCTTTGGTGGGATGGCTGTGCTCCCACTAGCCCTTCCCTGGACCCAGGCCCGTGGCCCTTTGCTTGGCCTGCTTGACTTATTCCAGGCCGCAGGCCCTTTCCCTTCTGAGGCAACTTTGCTAGAGTCCCCCAGGCTACCAGGACCTGCTCTGGCAATATGCCGGACTCATTTATCTCTTTTCTTTCTGCAGAAATCCTTCTGGTTTTCTTCATGTTTTCCTAGGAGATACTACCATTCTCCTCAAACACTATCATTTTTTAAATTTCATGAACGTCCATTAAATGCAGAGCCAAAGCCGTTATCTGCCAAAAAAACTACTGATAGCATCTCTTAACTTGAGAGGTAGGAAGGCTTAACTTTCACTCTCCCAGGAAATGAAGGGAAATAGCTGCATACCATCCTTCTGGAGTAAAAAGGAAAAGGAAAAGCCAGACAGCTAGGATTCCATGTTAAAGCAGTCTGAAAGCTCACCTCCTGTCATGCACTCCTGTTGGCCAGCTCTTGGAAGGAGTCTCTCATTTTGTTCCTTCCCTGAAAGAAATCTTCCAGCCAGGGAGAGACGAGGATTCACAGTGCTGTGGAGGAAAAGAAAACCTCATTCCTTTGCTCAGTAATCCCTGATTGCACATTTACTGTGAGTTAGCCCAAATCACAAAAGTAAATGTGGACAGATTGGGCTACATTAAAATTGACTTCTCTTTATTTTGAAGCACTACAATTAAATCAGGAAGAAAAACATCAAGATTCCAATAGATTGACCATGAAAGGGCATAAACAATGAGCTTAGGGGCGCCTGGGTAGCTCAGTCCTTTAAGCGGCCAACTCTTGGTTTCGGTTCATATCATGATCTCAGGTCCTGAGACGGAGCCTTGTGTCAGGTTCCGTGCTCAGTGGGGAGTCTGCTTCAGGATTCTGTCTCCCTGTGCCCCTCCCCCTGCTTGTGCATGCGCATGCTCTCTCTCTCCCTACAATAAAGAAATCTTACAAAACAAAACAAAACCACAATATAACTGATAAATACAAATCTAAAGATCCCAAATACATTAATTCTGAAAATTAAAAACCTATGAAAACAAAAGGTTTTCATTCGATGGCACTACCTGACCATAACCCTTCTGAATATTTGTATGTCCATTCATACTGCTTCGTGTGAATATCTATGCTTCTCGCTGCAGAAGTGTTAATGGGGTTAAGGGGTGCTGCTGGAGAGTTATACAACACATGTTGTGCCTACCTTGAGTTAGGTACAATTGTTATTTTTGTATTAGAAGTGAAGGGAGTGAAACTTAAGTGAAATAACTTATGCCATGCAGCTTATAAAAT